TATATATATAGGGGTTCATTCAAGGGAGAACTGATTAGTTTGTGGTAACTGTGAGATCCAATCTCAATCACAAATCAACGGATAAATTAGGAAATTAATAATTATGGTAATTTGAGTTAAAATTATAATTAGAGGACATTTTAGGTATTTTCAAAAAAACTCCTCTCTCCTCTCTCATCTTTCCGACCTCCAATCTCCGGCCTTCGGTGAACATTAATCCGACAGGTACCAAGTAATCACAAAGATACAGAATGTGATACCAACTCAAACCTTAAAAACAAAGATACACAATGTGATACCCATTGTGATATACTATGATACCGATTTCACCGGAGGCCAGAGATTGGAGGTCGGAGAGAGGAGATAGGAGAGAGGAGTTTTTCAAAAATACCTAATATGTCCTCTAATTATAATTTTAACTCAAACTATCATAATTATTAATTTCCTAATTTATCCGTTGATTTGTGGTTAAGATTGGATCTCACACTTACCACAAACTATTCAGTTCTCATTTGATTAGGCCCCTATATATATATATATATAGGGTTGGGTTTACGTGAGACCAGACTATTTTCGTGAGACCCGTGATACCACATTTTTACACTTGAAACTTCACAACAAAAACACTGTGAAGGTTTAAAAAAGTCGAACCTTCCTAGCAAAAACACTGTGAAGGTTACCTTTACAGCATTTTGCTGTGAAATTTCAAGTGTAAAAAGCTGATCTCACGGGTCTCACGAAAACAGACTGGTCTCACGTGATCTCAAGTCTCTCTCTCTATATATATGTATGTATGTATGTATGTATGTATATGTATATATATATATATAGGGTTGGGTTCACTTGAGACCAAGGGTTTTTCGTGAGACCTGTAAGACCAATTTATGTTCATTGATCAACTTTATAAGCTAATGATCTAATGGTTTAAAGTTGTACGATGAGAATTTTGTGATTATTGAGAAGTCTCGTGGCGTTTATGAATATTCAGATTGTCAGATTATAGATTTCATCCACGGGTTGATAATTGGTCTTACGGATCTCACGAAAAACCCTTGGTCTCACATGATCCCAAGTCTCTCTCTCCCCCTCTCTCTCTCTCTCTCATATATATATATATATATATATATATATATATATGTATATAAAGGGAAAAGTTCAAAAAAACCCAACGGACTTTACTGTTTGGAACGATTAAGTCCTTGGACAATTTTTTGGAACAAATAAACCCTTGGACTTTACAAAACCTGTTAAATAAGTCCTTAGACTTTACAAAACCTGTTAAATAAGTCATTGGACTTTCTAAAATATGTTAAATACATTTTGTTAGTGAAAAAGGTACGAAAAAACAATGGATTTT